CAGACCTCGCGCCCGGAATTTGGGGTTTTTTTGGGGGGGAAATGAGGCCGAAATGTGGCTAAAGATAAACCCTCTCCCCACTTTATTGCTGGAGCCTGGAATTTTGGGGTTGTTTTAAAAGATGAGGTCGAAATCTGATTAAAGCTGAGCCCCCTCCCCACTTTATTGCTCCTCCTATTGCTTGAATCTGAATTTGGGGTTTTTCAGGGGGGAAATGCGGCCAAAATCTGATTAAAGCTGAGCCCCCCCCTCGCTTTATTGCTCCTCCTCTGCAGACCTCGAGTCTGAATTTTGGGTTTTTTGATTTTTTTTCTGTTTTTTTTTTTAAGATAAAACCAAAATCTGATTAAAACCGAGTCCCTGCCCACTTTATTGCCCCTTCTCTGCAGACCTGGAATTTGGGTTTTTTGGGGTTTTTTTTGAAGAAATGAGGCCAAAATCCGGCTAAAGATAAGCCCCCTGCCCACTTTATTGCTCGAGCCTGGAATTGGGGTTTGTTTTGAAAAGATGAGGCCGAAATCTGATTAAAGCTGAGCCCCCTCCCCGCTTTATGGCCCCTTCTCTGCAGACCTCGAGCCTGGAATTTTGGGAGGTTGTTCTGAGGAAATGAGGCCCAAATCTGGTTCAAGCCGAGCCCCCTCCCCGCTTTATTGCTCGAGCCTGGAATTTTTGGGTTTTTTTAAAAAAGACGAGGTGGAAATCTGATTAAAACTGAGCCCCCTCCCCATTTTATTGCCCCTTCTCTGCAGACCTCGAGCCTGGAATTTTTGGGGTTTGTTTTGAAAAGACGAGGTCGAAATCTGATTAAAGCTGAGCCCCCTCCCCGCTTTATTGCTCGAGCCTGGAATTTTTGGGTTTTTTCTAGAAAAGATGAGGCCGAAATCTGATTAAAGCTGAGCCCCCTCCCCACTTTATTCCTCCTCCCAATGCAGACCTCGAGCCTGGAATTTTTGGGTTTTTTTGAAAAGATGAGGTCGAAATCTGATTAAAGCTCCTCACTTTATTGCCCCTCCTTTGCAGACCTCGAGCCTGGAATTTTTGGGGGTTTTTTGGGGGGGAGGTGAGGCCAAAATCCGATCAAAGCCGCGCCCATGGGAGCCCCCAAAGCCCGGCTTAAGCCCAGGGCTCCTGTCTGAGCCCGGCTGCCCCCGCCCGAGCCGAGGCGCCCAAAAGAAGCAGAAACGGCCCAAACCCAGCCTGGCCCGGGACTGGAGGCGCTTGGGATTTCAAATTCCGCCTCTGGACGGGGACTGGGAGCCACCCCTGAGCCGAGCGCTCAATTCGCGGAGATTTAGTGCGCTTTAAGCCCTGGGCTCGAGTTTAAATGGATCAGAGGTGGCAAATCAATTACAGCGCGGGCCTGACCCTCGCCGGATGAAAACTGCCCCGGCCTTCGGCGTTTTCCTGGGGATTTTTTCCCACCTTGGCAGTCGAGCCCCGCCAGGGTGGAGCGAGAGGAAAGATTTTTTTAAATATTTTTTTTTTTAATCTCCAGAGATGTCAGCGAGGCGCAATTAGCGAGCGGCCGGCTTCGATTAGCGCGGTTTTATTTTCTTTTTAAAACCAAAAAACAAAAAAATAACTCAGCCAAGAGCCCCTTTCCGCCGCAAATTATCGCAGCGAGCAGCGCTGCGAGCCGGCGGCCGTGAGAAATTTTAAATTTTTTTTCCCCATTTTTTTTTTTTTCCCTGCTTTCCCAAACTATTTCGAGGGATTTATTGGCCAGGAGCGGCGGAAAAACCCCAGGCAAACATTTTCATTGCGGCGGAGCGCTGCTGCCCGCGAGCTGCGCTTGCAGACATCGCATTTCTGTGCCCTTTGCAGGAAATCCCATTTTGCTGCCCCTTTTCAGGACATCGCATTTCTGTGTCCTTTGCAGGAAATCCCATTTCTGTGCCCTTTGCAGGACATCGCATTTCTGTGTCCCTTTGCAGAAAATCCCATTTTGCTGCCCCTTTTCAGGACATCGCATTTCTGTGCCCTTTTGCAGGAAATCCCATTTCTGTGTCCCTTGCAGAAAATCCCATTTCTCTGTCCTTTGTAGGAAACCCCATTTCTGTGCCCCTTTGTAGGAAATCCCATTTCTGTGCCCCCTTGCAGAAAATCCCATTTCTCTGCCCCTTTTGCAGAAAATCCCATTTCTGTGCCCCTTTTCAAGACATCCCATTTCTCTGCCCCCTTTTCAGGAAATCCCATTTCCCTGCCCCTTACAGGAAATCCCATTTCTCTGCCCCTTTTCAAGACATCGCATTTCTCTGCCCCTTGTAGGACATCCCATTCTCTGCCCCTTTGCAGGAAATCCCATTTTGCTGCCCCTTTTCAAGACATCGCATTTCTCTGCCCCTTGCAGAAAATCCCATTTCTCTGCCCTTTTCAGGACATCGCGTTCTCTGTCCCTTGCAGAAAATCCCATTTCTGTGCCCCTTTTCAGGAAATCCCATTTCTCTGTCCCTTTTCAGGACATCCCATTCTCTGCCCCCCAAATAACCCAAACCCGCGTGCGGGGCTGCAGGCTCCCGATAACCGCCGCCGTTTCGCGGAGCCGCAGAAATTGCGCAACTCATCCCCCGCCCCATCCGCCGGCTCCTGCTGAGCCCTTCAGCCCCTAATCCCACTTTTCTTTTTTTCATTTCCCCCCTTTTTTCTTTCCCCCCTTTTTCCCCGCTCATCGCTCCCTCTCCACCTAATTTTATTTATTTATTTTTTTTTATTTTGCCGAAATTTTTTACTTTAATCCCGGCAACTTGGGGCGCGCCCGGCGCACAAAGGGGAAACTCTGCACGGAGCAACAGCAGCGATATCGCGGGGAGGGCGCGGCGGCCGCGCGGCCGCTTCCTGCTGCTGTAATTTCCTTCAATTCTGGCATCCCCGGGACGCTCCCGCGGCCCCGAGCGCTCCCGGCGCGGCCGCTGGAAACTCGGGCTCCCAAAGCACCGAGCCGCGCTCGCCGCCGCCGCTCGGAGCCTCCCCGGGCGCGGGCAGCTCCGCGGAGGATGGGAAATCGTAGATCCCTGGCACCGATCTCGTTTCGGCCCCCACAGACAGATGGTTACAAATTCGGACAGGAAACAGCCCCTTGATAAACGCTGCAGGGCGGAATTAAGGTGGATTCGCTTTTCCTTTTTTTTTAGTTTTCTTTTCCCTTTTTTCCTTTTCATTTTCCTTTTTTTTTTTCATTTTCCTTTCTTTCTTTTCATTTTCCTTTCTTTCTTTTAATTTTTTTCTTTTCGTTTTTTCTTTTCCTCTTATCTGTTTTTATTTTATTTTAATTTAATTTAATTTAATTTAATTTAATTTATATTATTTTATTTTATTTTATTTTATTTCATTTTAATTTAATTTATTTTATTTTCTTTTCTTTTAATTTAATTTATTTTATTTTATTTTATATTATTTTATTTTATTTTATTTTATTTTATTTTATTTTAATTTATTTTATTTTGTAATTTTTGGATTTTTTTTTTTTATTGGCCACGTCTCTCCGCTGCCTCGGCTGGTTTTCCCCTTCGAAAAGCCAAATTAAAAAAGAAAAAAAAAAAACCAACCAAACAAAAAAAAGCGGCGAGAGGAGCCTCAACCCCACCTTGAGCCAGCGAGGAGCTCGGGGGGGGATGCGCAGGTAGAGCCAAGCCAGGAAATCCGGGCCAAGCAAAAATAACAAAAAAAAACCCCAAAAACCAATTTAAAACCCCAGCGCAAAGCGGAGCTTTAGGGGCACGGGGACTTTCGGCGTCACCTTTGGCGGGGTTTAAATGGGCGCAAATCGGTGTTTGGGGGTGCGGAGGGGCTGGAACGGGGGGGGCTCCGCTGCCCTGAACCCCCCCTCGATAAATTCCGCTTTTCCCCTCGCCCCGAGCTCGCCTTTGGCCAGAAAAGGTCGGGCGCGGGTCCGGCATTAACAAAAAACGCAAGAGGGCACAATGCGGGGGAGAGCGGCTCCGGCCGGAGCGCGGAGGGAACATTCCCAGCATTTTCCAGCATTTTCCAGGATTTTCCAGGATTTTCCAGTGTTTTCCATTTGCCATTTCTCTCCCGAACCGCGGAGCTTTTCCGACAAGGGCGCGGAGAGGCGGCGGAGGCTGCGCTGGGGCTGCGCGGGGCGGGCGGCGTTAATTAGCGCTAATTAGCGCGGCGCGGAGCCGCTGAACTTGTCCAGGGCGGTTTGTGCTCCCGAGCCCGGCGCAGCCCCCGCCGCGGGCTCCTTGCGAACTTGGCCCACAGCAACTTTCCAATTTCATTTTTCCGCTCTTTCCCCGCCCCGAGCTCATTTCGGCACCGGGGTTAAACTTTGGCCGCCGCCGCCGGGAATGAACTTTTTTTAAAATTTTTTTTGTTCTTTTTCTCTCTTTTCCTCCCCCTCCCCGCCCCGCTCCGCGCGGTTCCGCCGGGGACCCCGCGCGCGGTTTTTGGGGGCAAATACGAAAATTTCGGCGCTCGCAGCGCCTTCCGCGCGGACGGGCGCGCTCCGGGGCAGGGAGAGGAAGAGGGGAGGGCGAGGAGGAGGAGGAGGAGGAGGAGGAGGAGGAGGAGGGGAGCGGGGGCACCGCGCGTTTATTTATTTATGAAGCCCGCGAGGAGAAGGCTCCTTTCGGCAGAGATTTTCTATTTGGTTAAGGGGGTGCCGCTCTGTTGTTTAAAAGGGAGGGAAAAGGGGGTGGACGGTTTGTTCTTGGGGGTCCCTGGTGCAATCTCGGCTCCTCATGGGTGCTGTTTTGCAACCTCAGGCGCCTGCTATTGGTCAGCCCGTGATCAGATGGTTGTATTTCCTTGTGTCCCTCGCTGGCACCGCGCCATCTCCCTTCAGCTAAAACCCAATCTCCGATATAGCGCTAATAGCTAAACCACTCGGACTATAAAACACAACAAATCATAAAGCCCGGGCAAAAAAAGGACGGCACGCACACGCACACACACACGCGGCGCAAAAAAAAAAAAAAGAAAAAAAAAAAGGAAAAAAAAAGGAAAAAAAAAAAAAAGGAAAAAAAAAAGGAAAAAAAAAGGGGGGAATCTCTCTCCTCTCTGTGTCTCTCTCCTTTCCGATGAGTTCTTATTTTGTCAACTCGACCTTCCCGGTGAGCCTGGCGGCGGGGCAGGAGCCCTTCCTGGGACAGCTCCCGCTCTACCCCTCGGGCTACGCGGACCCTTTGCGGCACTACCCGGGCACCTATGGAGCCGCGCAGGACAAGGGCTACTCCTCCTCCTCCTCCTCCTCCTCTCCTTACTACCAGCAGAGCTCCGCGGCGTTCGGCGGCCGCGCCTCCGCCTGCGACTACGGCCCCGGCGGCTTTTTCAGGGACAAGGAGCCGGCGTGCGCCCCTCCCAGCCTGGACCAGGTGCCCTCCTTCGGCGCCGAGGCGCGCAAGGACTGCGCGCACGGCAAAAGCGCCTTCGGAGAGAGCGAGGAGCAAAAGTGTTCCGCGCCGGTTTACCCCTGGATGCAGCGGATGAACTCTTGCAATAGTGAGTTTTCTCTTTTCCAGCAATAAATGCATCAATCTCCTCCTCCCTCCCCTTTTTCTTATTTGTTACCGCCAGGGAGGGGGAGAGACAGAGAGAGAGAGAGCGAGCGAGGGGAGCAGGAGCAAGGTTCGGTTTTAGAGCCCAAACTTCCAGCGGGGGAACTCGGGCTCCGAACACGCAGCAAAACTTCCGAGATCGCCCCCGCTCCAGCCCGAGCTAGAAACGCTCCCACCCCAGAACCGAATTATTTCGGAATTTCTGAATTTCTGAATTTCTCAATGTCTCAATTTCTCCATTTCTCCATTTCTCCATTTCTCCATTTCTGAATTTCTCAATGTCTCAATGTCTCAATTTCTCAATTTCTCAATTTCTCCATTTCTCCATTTCTGAATTTCTCTCCCACTCCCTCCCTTGGTGTTTTGTTGTTTGTTTTTTTTCCTGTTTTTCCCTCTTTTTTTCCCTCTCTCTTTTTGCCACATTCCTGTTCGCGTGTCACTCAGCGACAGCGATTTGTCTCTGTCTGTGCCCCACACGCACACGGAGATTTCTCCTCTAAATCAGATCTCGGTGACTTTACACACACAGCCCCGGCCCGCTCCTCTCCCTCTCCCTCTGCTCTCTCTCCGAGCCAGAATTAAATGACGGAAAAAGTGTTTAAATATTTGAAAGGCAGACGGTTGCATTTTTAATGCGGCTCGCCCGTAATGAAAAGTCTGCCTGGGGAGGATTTTCCTGGTTCTCTTGCCCCCCTCCCCGGTGATGCACGGCTCCTTTAAGTGCCGTTTCCTCAATCAGAACTGCAATAATAATTTTTTAAAAATCAGATAAGTGGAGGCGGTGGGGTAGGGGGGGTGGAAAGAAAAACACCAGCAGCCTCCCTGCTCTCCTTGCCCGTGTTTAGACGCATTTGTTGCCTTTTAAGTTCCAAATTGATGCCCATTAGCGCGGGGACAGCGAGCGTTGCGCGCTCTTTAAAGCGGGCTCGGGGCAGATCGATTCACTTCATTATGGCCTAAACGCCCCCATCCATCCCGGCCCTGCCGCCGGGGCGGAACGGGCGGGGGGCGGCAGCGCCTGGAGGGGCCTCAGGATCCCAACGAGATGGGTCTGGCCTTGTCTGCCTGCCCTGAGCCCGGCTTAACCCCCCCGGCCAAGGCCCGGCTTAAACCCCCCCCGGCCAAAGCCCGGCTTAAATCCTCCCTTTCCAGAGCCCGGCTTAAATCCTCCCTGCCCTGAGCCCGGCTTAAACCCCCCCCGGCCAAAGCCCGGCTTAAATCCTCCCTGCCCTGAGCCCGGCTCAAACCCCCCTGCCCTGAGCCCGGCTTAAACCCCCCCCGGCCAAGGCCCGGCTTAAATCCTCCTGCCCAAAGCCCGGCTCAAACCCCCTTGCCCTGAGCCCGGCTTAAATCCACCCTGCCCTGAGCCCGGCTCAAACCCCCCCCGGCCAAAGCCCGGCTTAAATCCTCCCTTTCCAGAGCCCGGCTTAAATCCCCCCGTGCCCAAAGCCCGGCTTAAATCCTCCCTTTCCAGAGCCCGGCTCAAACCCCCCCTGCCCTGAGCCCGGCTCAAACCCCCCTGCCCTGAGCCCGGCTCAAACCCCCCCCGGCCAAAGCCCGGCTCAAGCCCCCCTGCCCTGAGCCCGGCTCAAACCCCCCCTGCCCTGAGCCCGGCTCAAACCCCCCCTTTCCAAAGCCCGGCTCAAGCCCCCCCTTTCCAAAGCCCGGCTCAAGCCCCCCCTTTCCAAAGCCCGGCTCAAGCTGCCCTGCCCGGCCGGGCCGCCCCCCGTGCCCTCCTGGAGCTGCTCAGGGCCCTGGGGAGGCGCGGCCCCCTCTGCACCGTCCCCAAATCGAGCTCCGTGTTCCTCCTTCCCCCCTCCTCTATTTCCCTCCATTTTTCTCTGTTTCCCACTCATTTCCCCCTATTTCCTTCTATGTCCCCCTATTTCCGCTGTTTCCCCTCATTTCCCCCTAACTCCCCCCTATTTCCCCCCTATTTCCCCCATTTCCCCCCTATTTCCCCCTGATTTCCCCCATTTCCCCCTAACTCCCCCTATTTCCTCTCTTTCCCCCCTATTTCCTTACATTTTCTTCTATTCCCCCTCTTTCCCCCCTCTTTCCCCTTATTTCCCCTTATTTCCCCCTAATTCCCCCTATTTCCCCCTATTTCCCCCTAATTCCCCCCATTTCTCTTTATTTTCCCCCAAATTTTCTTCCATTTCCCCCTATCCCCCCCTGCTATCTTATATTTTCTTCCATTTCCCCTCATTTCCCCCATTTCTCCTATTCCCCCTGTTTCTCCCTCAATTCCCCTTTATTTTCCCCTTAATTCCCCTTTTCCCCCTATTTTCTTCTATTTTTTGATATTTTCCTCTCTTTTCCCCCTATTCCCCCCTATTTTCTGGTATTCCCCCTATTTCCTTACACATTTTTATATTTTCCCCTCTTTTCCCCCTATTTTCTTGTGTTTCCCCCTATTTTCTTCTATTTTTTATATTCCCCCCTATTTCCCCCTCTTTCCCCCCTATTTCCTTACACATTTTTATTTTCCCCCCTATTTTCTTGCATTCCCCCCTATTTCCTTACACATTTTTGTATTCCCCCCTATTTTCTTGTAGTTCCCCTTATTTCCCCCCTATTTCCTTGTATCCCCCCCTATTTCCTTACACATTTATATATTTTCCCCCTTTTCCCCCCTATTTTCTTGTATTTCCCCCTATTTCCCCCCTATTTTCTTGTATCCCCCCCATTTCCTTACACATTTTTATATTTTCCCCCTTTTCCCCCCTATTTCCTTACACATTTTTATATTTCCCCCTATTCCCTCCCTATTTTCTTGTGTTTCCCCCTATTTTCTTCTATTTTTTTATATTCCCCCCTATTCCCCCCTCTTTCCCCCCTATTTCCTTACACATTTTTATATTCCCCCTATTTCCTTACACATTTTTATATTCCCCCCTATTTCCTTACACATTTATATATTCCCCCTATTTTCTTGCATTCCCCCCTATTTCCTTACACATTTTAATATTTCCCCCCCATTTCCTTGTATCCCCCCCTATTTCCCTACACATTTTTATATTCCCCCCTATTTCCTTGTATCCCCCCTATTTCCCTACACATTTTTATTCTTTCCCCCTATTTCCTTATACATTTTTATATTTCCCCCCCATTTCCTTGTACACTTTTATATTCCCCCCCCATTTCCTTGCATCCCCCCCCATTTCTCTACACATTTTTATATCCCCCCCTATTTCCTTGTATCCCCCCCTATTTCCTTACACATTTTTATATTTTCCCCCTTTTCCCCCCATTTCCCGACACATTTTTATATTCCCCCCTATTTCCCTACACATTTTTATATTCCCCCCCATTTCCTTGTACATTTTAATATTTTCCCCCCTATTTCCTTGTATCCCCCCTATTTCCTTACACATTTTTATATATTTTCCCCCTTTCCTCCCCTATTTCCCTACACATTTTTATATATTTCCCCCCTTTCCCCCCCTATTTCCCTACACACATTTATATATTTCCCCCCCATTTCCCTACACATTTTTATATATTTTCCCCCCTTTTCCCCCCCTATTTCCCTACACATTTTTATACATTTCCCCCCTTTTCCCCCCTATTTCCCTACACATTTTTATATATTTCCCCCCTTTCCCCCCCTATTTCCCTACACATTTTTATATTTCCCCCGCCTTCCCCGGGCCGTTTCCTGCGTGTTTTTTTTTGTTTTTTTTTGCTGATTTTCCCCTCTCTCTGTGCCCCCAGGTTCATCCTTCGGGCCGAGCGGCCGGCGGGGCCGCCAGACCTACACGCGCTACCAGACGCTGGAGCTGGAGAAGGAATTTCACTTCAACCGCTACCTGACCCGGCGGCGCCGCATCGAGATCGCGCACTCGCTGTGCCTGAGCGAGCGCCAGATCAAAATCTGGTTCCAGAACCGCCGCATGAAGTGGAAAAAGGAGAACAAACTGCTCAGCTCCGCGCAGCTCAGCGCCGAGGAGGAGGAGGAGAAAGCGGCCGAGTGATGCGGGAAAAACGTCCGAAAAAAAAAAAAAAAAAAATTAAAAAAACAAAAATTCAAAAATTAAAAAAAAAAAAAAAGCAACGACAGCGACAAAAAAATTATTTAAAACTCAGAAAACGCTAAAAAAAAAATTGGAATTGAGGAGGGGGTGAGGGGTGCAGGGAATTCCCGCTCCTCGCTGGGGCAAATCCCGCAGCAGCCGCGGAGTTTGGGCCGCAGACGCGCCGATCCCCGCTGGTTTTGTCCAGGAACAAACAACAAAAAAATGCAGAATTAATCGGGTTTCTAGCGGCGTTTTGAGGGGTTTTTTTTGCCCTTTCCCTCCCGCTCTGCACCCCCCTTCCCTCCCGTTATTATTCCACGAAATGGAATAATAATAACGATAATAACCGCAAGAATAATAATGGAAAAGTGAAGAGACGGAGAGAGAGAAGGAGGGAAGGGAAGGGAAAGAGAAAAAAAGGGGAAAAAAAAGGAAAAAAAAATTAAAAAAAAAAAAAAAAAAAAGGACTCCTAGCCGTGTTTCTACCCTTGGTGTCACTGTTAGTAATCCGCTAACTCTTGTATTTAATGGAAGTGCTGCAATATCTGTCATTTGGGGTGTTTATTGTCCTAATTTTGTACAAATGGTTCATGCACGGTTGGCATAAGTTGGGTTTTTTTTCCTTTTCTTTTCTTTATGTTTATTTTTTTTTATTATTTTTTTTAAATTTTTTACTCCTTTGGTAAATTAATCCAACCCTGAGGTTCTTTGTAATTAGTTTGGGGCTGTTTGGTTTCGGTTGGGGTGGGTGTTTTTTGTGTTTTTTCTTTTTTTTTTTTGCCTTTTTTAATTTTTTATTTTAAAAATCCGAAATCTACTGAAAGAACTGAGTACTACCTACGAGGCTGCAGGAAAAAAAACAAAAAAGAAAAAAAAGAAAAAAAAAAAACAACCGAGAAGAACAACGACAGAAAGTTCTATTTTATTAATTTTTGTACGTGTTGTGTTTGGAGTTTGTCTTAGGTATGAACATGGAATTCTCTAATAAAAGCCAAGGCTTCGATCTCACCCCACAGCCCTCCCCTGTCGTTCTTGGCGCTGCTTGGAGCCGAATTTTCCCTTTTCCAGGGGCTGAAAAGGAGAATTTTCGCCGCCCTCTGGGTGACGATGTCCCCTGGCCCTGCGCGGGATCGCAGAAAATTCGGATTTTCCCCCCTTTTTTTGGGAGCCTTTTGGCCAGGAGCATTTCCTGGCTGCCATTTCTGCCTCAGCACCGCTCCCTCTCTGCGTCTTTCTCTCTTTTTCTTTTTATTGTTACAGTACAAAGAGTTATGACGGAACGCCCGTCCCGTCTCCACGATAAATCAAGGAAACGGGCAAAAACGCGCTCCCATTTATCCGCCCAAGCCACCTAACATTTGCCCAGCATCTTTCAAACATCTGCTCCCCTCGCTCCGTGCCCCCGAATCAAAGAGAAACGTGGCGCAAAAAAAAAAAAAAAAAAAAAAAAATTAAAAATATTCCAGCTTTCCAAGGAATTTACCCCCGGGAAAAAAAAAAAAATCTCATTGAAAATTCTCCTTGAAAATCCTCATTGAAAATCCTCATTGAAAATCCTCATTGAAAATTCTCCTTGAAAATCCTCCTTGAAAATTCTCATTGAAAATTCTTACTGAAAATCCTCCTTGAAAATCCTCATTGAGAATTCTCACTGAAAATCCTCCTTGAAAATCCTCCTTGAAAATCCTCCTTGAAAATTCTCATTGAAAATCCTCATTGAAAATTCTCATTGAAAATCCTCATTGAAAATTCTCCTTGAAAATCCTCATTGAAAATTCTAATTGAAAATTCTCATTGAAAATCCTCATTGAAAATCCTCATTGAAAATCCTCATTGAAAATTCTCATTGCCGGGAATGAGCGCCTGTTTAAACTGGGGAAAAAAAAGTGGGGGAAATCCTGAATTTCGCTCCTTGGAAAGGGCAAAATTTTTATTTTCTCCGGCCAGCGGCTCCTTGCCTTGGCTGGGGATGGGACGGGGAAGGTTTCGCGCTCCTCAGCGAGGAATTTTCTTGCGAAATCCCCAACTTTTGGTGTGCGCGGGGGGGAATGGAATGAGAGGAGAGGAATCTTTTGGTGGTTTTGTTTTTTGTTATCTGCTGAGGGATTTGGGGCTGGAAAAGCTCCGGGAAGGGGCGAGCGGGGCGCAGCTCGTGGCCACCAGAAAGCGCCGGGTGGGAGCGCGTCCCCCCCGCGCCACGAGGCGCTTTTTTAATGCCAGCCGCTCTTAAAATCAATTCATGCAGAAGCTTCACAGCTGTAGGACATTTGCTATTATTGCCACGCTTTTCATTGCCCGTAATTATTATAATTATATGTCACTTTCAATATGGCGCATAATTCCCAACGAGTTGCAGGCGAGCGCGTGAAATTCCGAAAGTGCCTCGGAAGGAGGGAAAGGAAAAAAAACAAAAAAAAAGGAAAAAAAAAAAAAGAAAAAAAATTTAAAAAATCAACAAGGAGAGAGACGGAGAAAAGAGAAGAAGGAGAGGAAAAAGAGGAAAGTAACGCCTAAAACAAATCCAGCTCTTTCCCAGCGCTCTCCCCGCTTTCCGAGCGCTTTTGCTCCCCGATGTTCCTTGCAGGAAAACAAACGGGGAGGGAAAACCTCGCAGCCCAAGGCTCACAGAGGACGTGGAAACGCTCAGGAGCAGGAACATCCTAAAAACCAACGCTGCCAAGGCCGGATTTCGCCTCTTTTCCCTTTCTCCCGCCCGTCTTTGCCCCCAGTTTCTTTTCTCCCCTCCAGAGCTGAGGTGCGAGCTCCTGGCCGAAGGAACCTCGACTTTTCCACGGAGAAAGCGCCCCAAAAATCACCCGCAGCTCCTCCTCGCCACCCCTTCCAACTGCGGACCCCCCCGAGGCCTCCCAGGCACCCAAAACCTCATCCCAAACTTCTCCAGCGCTTTTCCAACACCGAGACCTCTCCAGGAAAACCCCGAGCCCTGGGACGCGCCGCACCCTCTCCTCACTCCCCACCTTTTTTCTTTTTAAATACATTTTTCTCCTTTTTTTTCCAAAAAAGCCAAACGGAGCTGAACCGAGTGGGGGCGACGGGGATTTTTTGATTTTTTTGCTTTTTTGATATTTTTTTTGGGAGAGGAGGAGGAGGAGGAGGAGGAAGGGGGGGCGCAGGGTGCAGTGGCGCGGCGCGGCCGGCAGGTGGCGCGCTCCGCCCAGGCGGGGGGCGATGGCGGCGGCGGATTTGGGGCGACTTTGGGCCTAAAGCGGCTCGGCGCTCGTCATTATTTGTAACCATAGAGCATGAATTACCTCTTGAGGTCATCAGCGAGAATTTACGACTGGTCAACAAAAGCACGTGACGCCCAAACGCACCCCCCACCCTCCCCCCATATTTGGCCGCATACATAGCAAAAACGAAGTACAGTGCATCGCTATAATTCATTAATACATCATAAATCGTCAAGCACGGGGTTATAACGACCACGAGCCACAAATCAAGCCCTCCAAAATAACCCAAATGAGCTCTTACTTTGTAAACTCGTTCTCAGGGCGCTACCCAAATGGCCCCGACTATCAGTTACTAAATTATGGGACCGGCAGTTCCATGAACGGTTCTTACAGAGATTCAAGCACCATGCATTCCAGCTCTTATGGCTACAACTACAATGGGATGGACCTTAGCATCAACCGCTCGGCCTCCTCCAGTCACTTTGGGGCTGTGGGCGAGAGCTCCCGCGGTTTCCCTTCTCCAGCTCAGGAGAGCAGGTTTAGACAGGCGTCCAGCTGCTCCTTATCTTCTCCCGACTCCCTGCCCTGCTCCAACAGCGAGAGCCACGGCGGCAAACCCGCCCCGTCCCCCTCCGAGCCGGCTCCTGCCGCCAGCAGCACCAACACAAATTTCACAGAACTAGACGAGACCAGCGCGTCCTCGGGAGCCGACGAGGGCACTCCAATAAGCAGCAGCATCCCCCGAGCGCAGGCAGAGCCCATCGCGACCTCCACGGCAGCGACAGAAGGGCAGGCACCTCAGATATTCCCTTGGATGAGGAAACTTCACATTAGCCATGGTACAGCTCCTTCTTTTTCCGTCCTTGTGCCTGTTCATTTCTTGCCGCACATCCCCCCCCAACCCCACCTCGCTCTTTTTCTCTTTTCTTTCTCTTTTTTCCCCCCTTTCCCCTCTTTTTTTTCCCTCCCACCCCCCCAGCCCCGCTCGCTTTTTCCTTTTTTCCGCTCCCTCCTTCCCTTTATTCCGCGGAGGCGCTTTGATCAGAATCGCAGCTATTTATTGCTTTTGTATTTCTCGCTCTAAAGCTGCCTCTGGCGCCTGCGGAGGGCCGGGGGGGGGCTGCGTGTGTCCGTGTGTTTCTGGGGGCCGATTTTATTTTCCCTCTCGCCCTCCCCGCCGCCAAACCGGCGCTTTCCCGAAGCTCTCGCACCGCGCGGGTGGTGGGAGAAGGTAAATTCAAAACCCGAGGCCGGGGGGGTTCCTCGGGGTGGAGGAAAGGGAAGAATCGAGCATTAAAACGGAGCTGGAGGCGCAGATGGGGCTCGCAGCCCCGTCCTGCCCCGGTTTCCTTTCGAGCCGCCCTTGCCAAAGCCCCAGAGCCGCCAGGAGAGCCCCGGGAGGGGCAGAGCCGGCCCCGAGCTCCAAAATCCCCGGTTCTCTGCCGGGGGAAAGAGCGGCCCCAAAGCTGCCCGGGAGCAGCCGGGAGGGAGAGCGGAGCCAGGGCAGCGGCGCCCGGGGCTGCTCAGAGACGGACACGAGGGGGGATCGGGGTCTGGAGCGGCCGGGGGCTCCACACCTGGGCGAGGTGGGGTGGGAGAAGAAGGAGACACGGGGGGGGTGCTGTAAATTGGGGGCAATTCGCAGCTTTCTACTGTTTTAAAAAAATAATAAAATTTAACAGCGCGAAAAATAGGCCTGAAAATTTAAAAATTAAAAAAAATTAAAATAGAGGAAATGCGAGCAGAAAGAGCAAACCCCAACCCCGG